TCTAAATGTTTTGATTCAACTATCATTGACATCATATATAATACATAACCAAGTATATACCCATATGTCTCTTCTTTTGGGTGGGGTGTCTCTTTTTTTTTTCGGTAAAAGTGGGAGTGGTGTCTTTTGTTTCCATTTTAAATTTGAGTTACGGTTTGGAACTTAGATGTGACATCTGTTTTAATCATTTCGTTTGATGGTTCAAGGGGTTTTGAAAGAGACCATGGAGATGAATTTTTCATTGGTGAGAACGATTTTGATTATGAATTTGGTGGCAGCAATACCATATCGGGGTTAAGGGAGACTGAAATGAGTCTGTTTAATGATAAGAATGCTTTCAAAGAACAAAAGCCCATAAAGCCATTGCAAAGCTTTTCTGTTGTGCAGCACTGCCACCAGAGACTGTTGAAGAGTTCATGGCTGGCAAAGACTTAACTCGCTCATACAATTGATTACTTAGTCATGGATTTGAATCAGTTAGGACTAAAAAGGAATTTAGATACCTCAAATTTTTTAAAATTATGTCACATCATCTATTAATATATTGATTGGTATACCAATTAGTGCATATCACATTATTCAATGTAATTTGACAAGAATTAATTGAATGGTAATACTGATGAGATATATTTACCTTTTTTTTTTTTTGAACAGTGATTAGATATTTTCTCTCTCAGTTTTTAAATTTGGCCAAAATTTTTAAACTAAAAAAATGGGTTTCCTTTTTTTTTTTTTTTTTTTTTTGTTAGTGCAGAGATTCTGGTTGTGTAGATCCAACCTGCTCACTTTTTTGGTGTACTAATTCAGAAACCTAAGAGCATCAGTATCAAACTAGCTAAAGTCATTTTTTAGCTAGTTTGATAATACTATTCATAAAAAACGGGCTTCCATCAAGCTCAGTACAGTAGGTCGCTAATATACAAGATGAATAGTACCTCGTTACAATAAGCGAGGCACTATTCATCGCCATTTGTGTGTTACCGGATGTCCGCCAGGGACATCCGGCCTGTCAACCAGTCAACAGCAATTTTTTTTTTTTTTTGAATATTTCTTCCAATTTATCTTTACAAAGGAACATAAGAATTGTTTGGCTGACAGTTCATCAATTTAATTAAAAAAAGAATATCAAATATTTTAATAGGATTGAGTTAGAATAGAGAGTTTGATGCAGTGAGTACTAAAAAAATGACTAGCTAAAATAGCAAAAGTGGATTTTTGGTTATAATTTGACTCAAAATTTGTTGAGATTGATGCGGATGCTCTAATATACATACTTTTGCAGGGTTTATCAAGTTGCAAATGTCAAGTCTGAGTGGAATTGTGTCAAAACCTTCCCTGATTTGTCTGGCACAGGTGCTCTCTCTCTCTCTCTCTCTCTGTTCAAAACTTGTAGTTACAGATCTTGATGTATATTCTTCTTTAACACCGTTGTGAATGCAGGTAAAGCAACTTGTGCTAAATTTGGTCCAGATGCTAAATACCTAGCAGTCGGATCAATGGACCGCAACCTCCGCATATTTGGCTTGCCAGGGGATGATGGTCCCTCAGAATCTTAAAAAGCCTTACATTCGCCTTTTTGAGAGCAAGCTATTTTGTATCCACATGTCGTTGAAAGAGGAGTTTCAATTTACTATTTTGCCCCCCAATTTTCCCTTCAAAATTTGCAATTTGATTTTGTTGTAGAGGAAGAATGCCAATCCTGATACCTGTAGTATTTTTTTAATGTACTATTTAAACTGCGGTATATTGAATAGGTACAATGAATGTTTAATATGAAGTTCCGTTTTTACCAAGAGACTTCTACGCTAATGTACTTTGACATTGTCGTAGAAGTATTTGCCTACTTGCCCCTCTCTGTCTCACTCACTATATATAATCTATTTATTTTGGGTCTCTGGGTTGGTTATGGATTATAGGTCCTGTTTGGTGGGTTTTTTTTTTTAAGTTAAAAGCTGATAATCAGATAGCACAAGTTAAAAGTATTCATATCCCAATTTTCAAATAATCAATTTTTTTTTTTATCTTATTTAAGTTATGTCTGTCTAATAAGCTATAAGAGCATCTCCAATGGTCATTGTTATAATGTCATTGTTATTGCTATAATTTGGCAATAATTAGTGTTATTTTTTCAAATTATAGCAATGGTGTTCTAATGGTCATTTGTTATTTTGGCAAATCTCAACCAATTTTCTCTCCAAGTTTGTAGATGTTTGGATATAGGTTTTTTTGTGATTTTATTTTTTTTTATTTTTTGTTTTTTGTAACCTTTTTTTAACTGTATGTAAAAAAAAAATTATATATTTATATTATTTTCGACTAAACAAATAAAAAAATTGAAAAATTAGAAAAAAAAGAATTCAATATAATTCACTCCACCTAAGAATATATCACTACATATTTAATAAATTATATATTGCAAACATAATAGTTGTAGAAAATACTGAAAAATAAAAAAAATAAAAAAAAATTCATTACAAAAAAAAAAATGACATTGGAAATAAAGACTAAATAAATGACATTGTAAAATTTAAAAATATAGGGTCTCGTAATTATTCATCAGGAGGTAGGAGAAATAGTAATTTGGGCTGTTGATATTTGAGGATCATTTGGCAAAAATCTCATTTTTTCACAATGTGTAATACGCTTTTATCTGAGGGTCCAAATGAGAAATGTCCGTAATCATTATCATATGTTCTTCTTTTTGCATCTCATGTTCTTGCCTTCTGATCTCAAAATCATGTTTTTTCATCTCAAGTTCTTTCAGCTCTTGCAGTGCTTGAATTCTTTTTTCTTCTCTTTCATCTTTTTCTTTTCTTTCATCTTTTTCTTTTCCTTCTCAGCAAGGTATTGGTTAAATGTGTTCAATTGTATGCTCATTTTTTGGACTTCAGCTTGAACGACTTGATTTTTCCGAAATAATTCTTTTGCAGCTTTCCTACCCATAAGCCTTTTACCTTTTTCAGAGATACTGTCCTCACCAACAGTTGGATTGTTACCAACACTTGGACTGGTGTCATTTTCAAGAGAAACGCAATTATTCATAGGAGAATAGGGAGCTGAATTAGGGGAAAACGGTATATGTATCCTTGACTTTACCGTGTTCGTAGAAGTTACATCTTGCCACCTGATATTGTTTTGCAAGATTGGCCAACAATGTTCAAAAGTAAAATGTTTGTTTTCATCTTGATAGTATAACAATTTTGCTTGAAACATCTACATCAATAAAATATTAAATTAATTAATTAGTTAATTTTTATAGAAGACAAAATAAAAAAACTAACATAATAAATGAAAATGAAATTTTACTATATCAACTTGTGACGTCCTACTTGGATGCAGATTTTCGACTTGCGCTAGACACCCATGAAGTTAATTGCAACATTTCATGATTATACCCCATCAAGATGAGATAGACGCTTGTGTTCTTGAGTGATCATTCTGCAGCGAGCAAAAATTTTCAAAAATTCTTCCCCAAAAATGAGCATGCGATTGCGAATTTTCAACAATTGGGTATTCAGTAATGTGATACCAAGCTCTACAAATTGCCACATCTTCTTGAGTAATGAATGATTTTCATCTCTTTGTTTTTAATGAACCTTCCATACTGATTGTATAAAAAATAAAAAAAGAAAAATATAATTAACACAATATTTTTGTCACGACCCCATTCCGCCCCTAGTAGAATGGTACCGTGATGGCCAGTAATCCGAGATTACCGAAGGCCAACTTTCAAAATTCACACACAATCAGAGTATTACATATGGGGCTAACATGTGCGGAAGCAATACATACAAATCTAATTAGTCCATAAGAGCTGTGCATAAACCAAATGAAATGACATACGTCCTTACATAGCTTTACAACTTGAATATAAGCAAAATAAAATACATATTACATCTTGACTAAAAGGCTTCTCAAGCCGACATGTTCAAAATACATAAGCTTCAAGATTGCCGACATAACATGCATTCCAAAACATCTTGCAAAAACACACATCTCGGCGTCACCGCCTTCTAGCTTGTTACCTTCATATATATATAGAGAGGGTGAACTTGGATACTCAGTGAATGGTACAAGTAATAAAGGGGTTAAATGAATGATATCCAAGATCCTTTCAAAACAATACATAGTATATCTTGTCAAAACCATACATAACATAGCTTAACTTGGCTTAAAACAAAACATCATTCAACTTGGCCTTTCAAAACTTACTTGCTTACTTAACATACGTCAATCTTAAAACATGGGGTGATGACACCTCGGCAAAACAAAAGCATGACCTCGGCATCGAGCACACCCGTTCATAGTCCGTCGGCGGCCGATATCTTAACAAGGGTGCTACTTAGGCTTAACGTCCCCTAGCACGAAAGGATGGTGCTATCTAGGCTTAAAGTCCCCTAGCACGGAAGGACTATGTTACATAGGCTTAACGTCCCCTAACATGGAAGGACGACGTTACTTAGGCTTAACGTCCCCTAACACGAAAGGACTATGCTACATAGGCTTAAAGTCCCCTAGCACGGAAGGACTATGTTACATAGGCTTAACGTCCCCTAACACGAAAGGACGGTGTTACTTAGGCTTAATGTCCCCTAACACGAAAGGACGGTTCCAAGAATGTCATCCAAAACAAAGCTTATACTTGATACATAAAATAGGGATCTCATTCATGCTTAACAAATACTTTTATCAAAACAAGACAAAGCTTTATCAAAACCTTAAGAATATAACTTTATTAAAAATACCACTCACATACTCTTGGGATGTCGGGATCAAGACAAAGGTCCAAGTCCTACAACACATGGCAAAGCATACTGAACATACTTCTCAAAACAAGTCTCACATGCATGCAAATAACCTCGGGAAAATATGCTGGAAGTCAAAACATTGTTTTACATGTCAGGAAGACATGCTGGGTACCAACCAGGTCTTTGCCGAGGTCCCACACCTCCTGGCCGAGGTGTGGCTACCTAGGCTTCGGCATGCGGCTGCATGCCGAGGTGCGCACAAGACAACTAAAGGTGTAAGTGATCATGCACGGTAGGCCAAGGTGAGATACGATGTTTGGCCTAAGTGTAAGGTCTAGGTGAGAGTGATCTCGGCGAATACTCTTCGGGAAGTGAGGTCTGGAGATCTGGGTTTCCACCCGTGAAGAACAGGAAGAACATGAACATGAAGATCATGAAGAACATGGATGCTAAAATCATAACTTCTTTATAATAAAAATCTGGGATTTCATGCTATGAGTTCGAAAATATGGACCTAGGTACCCATACTTGAAAATCATGCAAAAACAAACACAAAAACATGGATCTAGGCATGAGCCTTCGGATCAAAACATGACTTTTCTTGAAGAACACATGAATGCCATTTTCTCTTTCTAAAACCGAACTTCAAAGCAATGCATGGCTTACAAATCATATTCAATCATGAAATGCGATAACATGAACATAAAGAACAACAAGAGTGGATCAAGAATCTAATCTTAGAACATGGATCTAACGGTTCGATCTCTAGGAATCAAGCTTAGAAATCCACTCTCTCTCAAGAACTCTTCTTCCTCTCCTAGAGCTTCTCTCTCCTCTTCAAAACAAGTATACAACAAAATGATGGGTTCTCTCTCTCTATCGGCTGGCTTAACTCTCAGCTCGGACACGTGGCAACGGCTGGTTGGTTCTCCTAAAAAAGATGATAGATTGACAAGACAAGAATATGACAAAGCGTATCTAACAAGCTACTCGGTAAGGACTCCGGCAATAGATGACATTGGCTAAGAACAAAGCTTCGGCAACTAGGGTGACAATGACCTCGGCTAGAAAGGACGACACTTGACTAAGCTGTGCCACATCTTGGCCTAGATGTGCCACACCTCGGTCTAGGTCATACCGCTCCAGGACAAGATCGCTCAGGTGCAAAGGTAACATCTCGGCCTAGATGATACACATCTCGGCCTTGGTGACTCGCACCTCGGCCTAGATAATGCCATCTCGGTCAATATGTCAGGGCGAAGGTGGAGGTCAAACGAAGGGGTTCCAAGATACTTCTAGACTGAAGATGACCTCGGTTTGGAATGATCTAGGCGCAACGTGATCTAGGCTTGGCATAACTTCGGCTAAACATAACTTAGGCTCGGGGCACCAAGGAAGGAACAAAGCAAGCACACAACACTTAGACAAATCACATAGACATCAAAATAAGGCATGGATCTTACTTAGGAAAAACAAGTCATAATTATGCAAATGCAAGCTTAACGGGTCATAATCATACCAATGTTCATGAACATGACTACGACATAAATGTGGGTTATTACAATTTTGTTATGAAATGAAATTGGTAAAATAAAGTGGTTGTATTTATACACTACAAAAAATGATCGTTTTTTTTTTCTTTTTCTAGCTGTTTAATTTATAGCCATTGGTGTCTTGAATTGTTTGGAAATCTAGCCCTTTTTTTACTTCTATATTGAAATAGAGCCGTTAGGCTCATGCCACACATTCCAAGATACTACTCTTACCGTTGGATCTTTATATCCAGCGGTTGATATATCAAGATCTAGAGTCCTCTTCTTCTTTCTCACACATCACATTACAAAGTCTGTCTTCCTATCTATCTCTCTGTCTCTCCATTGCAAAGTCTGTCTCCTTCACTCTCACCTTCTTTCTCTCACCGATCTAGTTTCATTCACCAATCTCTCTCCCCCGTCTGGTTTCAATCACCGATCTCTCTCCACTGATCTAGTTTCAGTCACTGATCTCTCTCCACCGTCTGGTTTCAGTCACCGATCTCTCTATATCTTTTGATCAATTAAACCGGCTCTCTCTTTATATCTCTCTTTCCGTCTCTTTCTAT